TATAATATGTTGTATTATAATACAACATATTATAGTATAATATAATATGTTATATTATAATATAATATAATCTATGTAGATGTTGTAAATCATGTCAGGGATCAGAGTGAGTGTTGGGGGATGACTCTCAGCTACTACCACATCAAATGACAGTTCAATATCTGTAAAAGTGACTGAATTTTAGGCATTTGTGCGTTAACTATGATTAATTAACTGTGGCGGCCGTCTTGAAATGGATCGTCTCCAAAAGTGAATGTGTTGCAGATCATCAATCGATGACTACGGTCTGAAAATCTTTATTGTTTCGCCCACAGATAGAGTTGTCTTTAATAGTTAATGTCAAAGTTTGAGGAAATAAAATCTTGTGTGGTGCCCAGGATATGTTGTGTTAGGGACCATGCTGAGCTATGCCACCTCAACTTTTAGCTAAATATCTGTAAACTTGGAGTTCGAGTGTTTGTGGGTTTGCTACGGTTGCTTAGCTTGAATGTTGGTTGAGCCAAAAAGTAACAGATGCAGATGTGCAGCCAGTGACAGTTTGAGTCCAAGCCATCCACTGGCTCATCACATCAGACAGTCAGACATGGCAGAAACATCACAGCTGTTGAGCCGGCTGCGGCAGGTGATAATGTCGAATTAAATGATGTACCTGAAGCCACAGCTTCCACAGCATCTTTGCAGAGGAGAAGCTCTTTTCAAGTGAACCAGGTAAATGAGTCTAACCTGTACAGCAGTAGCAGCGCACCCAAAGCGTTCCTGTAGCAGAGAAGCAGAGGGCCAATGAAGTCCAACATGGAGAGGAACTCCACCAACCAGGGCACGGTCAAGATGGTCCGCTTCCTCCTCACACTGTTACTCAGCACAGCGCACACATCAAGAACCTGAGCTCTCTGTGGGGTGAAGAAAACAAACACAACGTGTCACAAAACGTTTGAGGCAAAGCACAAACAGGAAACACAATCAGAGGAAAATCATCCTCGTGTTGCTGCTCATATACATATGACCATATCATTATCATAGAGCTGACAAAGTGACGGGTAATAATGTTTTTCACTGTGTCTGGCTTAGCTAAATATCTCATGAACCACTGGACAATTTAAAAAACCTTCCCAGGAAGCAATAACTGGACAATGTTTTTTAACTCAATCCACTTCAACATGGCTGCCAAAGCTATTTGCTCTTAGGTAATATAAAAATGATAGGGATGCACGATATTATCAGCATGGTCTCTGTATCGGCCGATATTAGCAATAAAGTGAAATATCGGACATTCCATTAAAATAACTCGCCAGTAGAAAAGGTGCTGTTTACACACACACGCACGCACACACACACACCAGGTCCGTCTTGAAAACGAGTCCTCGTGACTCGATGGGACTAAGCTGTAGAAATAAAGGTTGAATGAATATGGTCCAGGCTCTACTTTAAAGAAGGCTACACGGGTAAATTAAGTGAGTGAAAAGAGCGGATGCACATCATGGTTCACATCACCTTGCTGCGCAGAGCTAAACACGTCTCGTGGATCTCTCTGGATGGTCTCTCAGTGGTTTGGTAAGGGAAAAAGGAAATGAATCCCAGGAACTTTGCTAGAAGACGAGCCAGGAGCAGCACTGAGGAAAACCGCTGCTTCTCATCCTGTCAGAGGGTTTATTCATGACGGTAGTGGCAACATATGCAATTTTAGGAATAACTCCTGCTAAAATATTGTGCATTCTAAAGTCAAGTGTGCAAAGATATTGATCAGACCACAGACCTGCTGCTCCATGTCTCCATCTTCCTCCTCCTCCCCTCCATCCCCGATGGAAGCAGAAGGGCCGAGTATGGAAACCTCTTCCAGCTGGAGGAGTTGTTGACACAGACGGTCTTGGAGGTGCTGACTCAGCTGACAGCTGGAACAACGCGTGGGAAAATTATTGAAAAGAAACACTCAAACGGACTACATTTCTCTCACACATGCACTATACCCACTGTCCCTCCTCCGGACATGTCCAAACCACTGTCCCTCCTCCGGACATGTCCAAACCACTGTCCCTCCTCCGGACATGTCCAAGCCACTGTCCCTCCTCCGGACATGTCCAAACCACTGTCCCTCCTCCGGACATGTCCAAACCACTGTCCCTCCTCCGGACATGTCCAAACCACTGTCCCTCCTCTGGACATGTCCAAGCCACTGTCCCTCCTCCGGACATGTCCAAACCACTGTCCCTCCTCCGGACATGTCCAAACCACTGACCCTCCTCCGGACATGTCCAAGCCACTGTCCCTCCTCCGGACATGTCCAAGCCACTGTCCCTCCTCCGGACATGTCCAAACCACTGTCCCTCCTCCGG